GGATAGGTTTGCAATCCGTTCAGTAGAAAATTCAGTTGATTGACCATCATCTTCTGTAGAGCTTCTTTGTTCTCCGTTTGTGGGCATGTCGTTAATAAACTCAGTAGGATCATAATAAGTTTGGTATGTACCTCGTTCATCTTCAACTATCATATTATGCATGATGATACAAGCAACCATAATTCGTCCCGTTAGATGTCTGTCCCAAACAAGACATGGTCGTCGAATAAACGCAAAGCAAGCTTGTAAAACTCCAAATGCTCGTTCAACACTTTCTTCATCATCCACTTCATATACAGGGCGAGAACGTGTTGTGTTACTTTCTAAATCTAAAGCCCATTTGGGATGTTTACACATAACTTCGTTATAAACATACAACTCATTAAACTTGCTCCCACCCTCCTCAAAAATTGAATGAGCCTGTTTCTCAACATCTTTCATACTCATTCCGYTCCTTTTCTGCCGATATGCCTCTCTATACGCAGCAACCCATTTGTTTGCAGCTTCATTAATTCGTGCATAACGACTTTTCATTTGATTTTCGTTCCTGATGCCCAGTCCATCTTGATTTTCAGCACGAGTTTCGTCATAGTATTCTTTTACTCGTGACCAGAATRTYTGTTTCTTCTGGTTTTTGCCTCGRGTAGGTTCTTCACTAACGTTGACCCATCCTGACATTAACACCACATCTTCTTTGGTTTCCCATTTACTGGCCCTTGAATTCTTTTGTGGGGTTTGGGTATTTTCAGGGATAGAAACTRGATTATTATACATGAAAAGCTCAGAGTTTTGATGTTGTGTGTTTGGATCATACTGAAAGCTATCAGGATGTTCAGAGTTTGGAAAAAAATTTGGAAAGTTTGGATCCATAAGAAATATTTGAAAGGAAGTAGCAAGATAACGAGAGGATTGAAATAGAGAGAAAAGTTGGTGTGGTGAAAATATATCAATATTGGTCTCTATTTGTAGGGAATTGAAAACCATGAATTTTGGTATATTTTTTTTTAATTTTAATTATTTTATAAAAGTCTGATTTTTAATTAGATAAATCTTATCCTAATAAAATCTATAAAACCAATCATATAGTGACAAGTGTCACCTATATATTTTAAAATTATCAACAATCTCATCTCATGGAGTGATGAGATCGTTCGGCAGAGATATACCAAATTTTTTTTTTATTTTTTTTTAATATTAAATATTCTTGTCTTATTCACAATCTGAACCAGAAGATCATGAATGTGGATGGTCTTAGGACAAAGAACTTAATCCATAGCAAAAGTGAAACCATGATGACTATATATGTAATTATTTTGTTTGGAGGACCCTCGATCCAAAATTTTCATATAACCTTAAGGACGAGATTTGTAATTTACTCTATATAAAATAAAATAAAATATAAATATGTAAATAATTGAGTTGATAGTTATTAAAATAAATGATTGGGTTCAAATTTCAAAACAATCACCACCTCTATTAAGGGGTGCCATTATCAGCACTTCCCTTTATTTATTTAAAAAAAAAGTTTAAAATGACCAATTAATCATTTAAAATAAAAAAAAAATTAATAATTTTTTATTTGCTTAGGGTCAAAGTGAAAAAAATCAAAAGTCAAACTTTTCAAAGGGTATTAGTTTCATCTTTAAAAGATTCTTGATTAATTCATATCATAAAATATTATTTCTCTCAACTAAACATTTAAATTCAAAAAAATTTATTGGTAGAATGAATAAAAAATAATTTTTCTCTTATAAGTAATCATTTCTGGTTAAATCTTTAAATATGAAGAATTTTATCCTCTTCTTGTACTTTATCCATTTTAGAGAAGGTTTGGAAAATCTATTGAAGATGCTCTTAATCATTTAAAATGGACCATTTATTGGATTTTTCTTAACATTTTCTCTATGGATTCAGAAAATGTTAAAACGACTTAATCATTCAAAATGCAAAAAATTAATAGTTAATTTATTTAAAAAGATAATTTAAATTTAAAAATAAATTAACCAAAGGGGTAGATAAAAATATACAAAAATGAGAACCCTTAGTCATGATGTCTCCAAAAACTCGTCACTAGAATTGCCTCTAAGGCCTATGTCCAATAATCCTTAGTTGTTTATTCTAGGTTTCATATAGCATGTCATTTATTATGCTTCTCACTAGAATCACCATCTGTCTCGTATAAACATGTCCAAAAAGACATGTCTTCCGACTTTCAACTTATTCATATTAGGCTTGTAACTATGTCGAGAAGACCTCATGCAATATCATGTGGCTCAACCACAGATCTATCTAAGTAAGAAATATATATATATATATATATATATATATATATAGGAGCGATCAAATAAAAACCGTACTCATTTGTAAAAACCGTACTCATTTGTAAAAACCGTACAAACCACCTTCATACGTCGATTTCATTGTTTAATCTTATGAAATTTTTTCATGAAATTGTTTAATCTTGTGAAATTGTTTCATATAATATTTTTTTTGATGAATTTGTTT